GTGCTCATGAAACATTCAGTCACAGCAAGATGACTTATTCACATGGAATTCCCTCCACCCTCTCTGTAGTCCTCTGGCATTGATCTGATGACTCTCCACTTTGAGCTCTTACAACAGGATAGAAGGAAAAGAGAGGTCAGCGGAAATGAGGACAAATTGCCCCAGAAGGGGATACTGGTTAAATAAGGACACTAAAAATATTAGTTTTGCTGCAGGTATTGTTAGAGCGAATCGTCTAAGGAAGGAGCTCCACTGGCCGCCGGAAGAAAATTCATGACTTGCAACAGTAAAACAGCAAGGAAAGCAGTGTATTTCTGATGGCTGTACAGTTCCACTGATGAGCTAAGCCAAGTCTACATTAGAAACTTTTGCTGATTCATGTTGCCTCACAGCAGTGTTGACAAACCTACCGGAGTCTCCCATCTACAAGCCACTGGGTTCCCTGACAGGAGGGGCAATGGTGGATGAGGTGTGGTTTTGGTAACTTTTCTATATTGGCAAAAGCTCTAATGTAGATGCAGTTATGGTGGTGTGACAGTATTTTTTCCAGTTCAACTTATTTCTCTCGGAAAACTGCTACAAGCAATCCTGGCAAAAGCCCCGTTTGCTAGTACAAATTGCTTTTACACTAAGGCTTTGTCTACCCTGCCAGCTTTTGCTGGCAGAGAGTATGCAAATGAAGCATGACAAAATGCTAATCAGCGCTTCATTTGCATACTCTCTGCCAGCAAAAGCTGGAAGTGTAGACATAGTCAGAGTGTAAAAGCAATTTGTACTAGCAAACGGGGCTTTTGCCAGGATTGCTTGTAGCAGTTTTCCGAGAGAAATAAGTTGAACTGGAAAAAATACTGTCACACCACCATAACTGCATCTACATTAGAGCTTTTGCCAATATAGAAAAGTTACCAAAACCACACCTCATCCACCATTGCCCCTCCTGTCAGGGAACCCAGTGGCTTGTAGATGGGAGACTCCGGTAGGTTTGTCAACACTGCTGTGAGGCAACATGAATCAGCAAAAGTTTCTAATGTAGACTTGGCTTAGCTCATCAGTGGAACTGTACAGCCATCAGAAATACACTGCTTTCCTTGCTGTTTTACTGTTGCAAGTCATGAATTTTCTTCCGGCGGCCAGTGCAGCTCCTTCCTTAGACGATTCGCTCTAACAATACCTGCAGCAAAACTAATATTTTTAGTGTCCTTATTTAACCAGTATCCCCTTCTGGGGCAATTTGTCCTCATTTCCGCTGACCTCTCTTTTCCTTCTATCCTGTTGTAAGAGCTCAAAGTGGAGAGTCATCAGATCAATGCCAGAGGACTACAGAGAGGGTGGAGGGAATTCCATGTGAATAAGTCATCTTGCTGTGACTGAATGTTTCATGAGCACGGGAAATCCACGGGGGATTTAAATATCCCCCGCGGCATTTAAATAAAAATGTCCACCGCTTTTTTCCGGCTTTTAGAAAAGCCGGAAAAGAGCGTCTACACTAGCCCCGATCTTCAAAGTAGGAATAAGATCCTCCGGAAAAGGGCACTTTTTCCGGAGGATCAGGGCCAGTGTAGATGCTCTTTTCTAAAAGCCGGAAAAAAGCGGCGGACATTTTTATTTAAATGCTGCGGGGGATATTTAAATCCCCCGCGGATTTCCCTATTACGATAGTTGAAATTAACATGTCCCTTCCGGAAAAGGGGCCAGTGTAGACGTAGCCCCCTTGTGCAAAAGCACATGCCAATGTAGATGCTCTCTTCTGAAAGAGTTCTTGCGCAAGATCATGCCAGTGTAGACGTAGCCTAAGAGTATTCATCAATGTAGCTACACCAACAAACCTTTTCTAGAGTAGATCTAGTCCTAGTTCCCAGCTGGTGTGCAGGCAGTTTTTTTGCAGGGCAACCTTTTTCCAGAGTTGTTTTAAGGTCCCCTCTGCATTGTGACACTCAGGGACCCTTATTCTCCACAGTCCTGCACCCCTTCATTTGCACAGTGAAATGAAAAACACTGCCATTCTGTTGGGAGCATCTCACACCCTCTTTGCACTAGTGTACATCAGTCGGCAACGTCAGGGCAATGGAGAATCAGGGCCACAGTGTGCAGGATTTCTGTTACAGCACCAAAAAGGGGTTAAAAGATAGATCAGTCTTGCATTGAAAAGGAGACCAAACAGCAATAGCACTGAGTTCTTGAATCATGCAAAGGCCTTGGACTGTGCTGAGCTCCAGCACAATTCATTCCTATTGCACTGCACAACCAAACCGTGCCATGATCAGGTCAGCGGGGAATTGCATTGTACTGTCTCCCCCTTCACTGTCGAGACATTACAGATGGCAGATGGGACCTCAAACACCTGATGAGCTCAGTTACCTTCAGCTGTCAGCACCATCTCCCAGCGCTCTCAGGACCTCTCCCCTCTTCACACTTACAACTTTTAAACCCATTTCCTGGCATCCTGGACTGCTCATGTTTCTAGTGAGAGGCGATGCCTGATGTTGGAATTACAGCTTTTGAGGATGGGAATCACTGGGACACTCACAGGCCGAGGGCCGAGTCTCTTACAACTCCTCGGTGGCCCAAGGTGTGGGTTCTGGTGGCCCATGAAAAGCTGGCTGATCAGCTGATACAAGTTCTCCTCCTTGTATCCAGCCACTGAACTGGACTAAGGACAGCCAGACAGGAAAACCTCACGATTGTAACTGAGCGATGTGTGCATTTTCTAGGAGGCTGTGACTAAACTGGCATCTACCCTCACATCTCTCCCCCTTGCTATGTCAATAGCAACAGTGTAATTGCTAGGGATATTAGCGTGTACTCGTTTACGTGATTAACCGACAAGCTGGGGCTCATCGGTTAATCCTGATGGTTACATGGATTCCCCACCACCACTTGCTGCCTCTGTATCAGAGGCAGCAAAGGAGTGGGGGAGGCAGGAACCGGTGGCTGTGGGGAGTCGTTTTTTAAGCTGGCTCCCTGTAGCTGCCGGCTCTCACAGAGCTGCCTGTCCCTGGCTGCCTGCCATAGGGGCAGCAGTGCAGGGGGCCAGCGGGAGCTGGTAAATATGGGAAGCTGACTATCAAGCTGGCTCCCTGGCAAATCGTCTCTCACGGAACTGCCTGCCCCTGCACTGCTGCCTCTCTATCAAAGGCAGCGGGGACAAGGGAGGCTGACAGCCTCCTGCCTGCCCCCTGCGTGTAAATGTGTAACCGCTAACATTTTTCAGTGGTTACACAAATAAGCATTTTAAACACCCTTAGTAATTGCTAGCTCAGGTGCTCAGAGCAGGTCCGGACAGCAGAGTGGCCAAACACCAGAGCAGTGCACGTTAGCAGAGCAACACTAGTGTTCTTACAGGAATGGGACATTTTAAGAGGAAAATAATTCTGGCCTAAAACTCAGATCTGCCATTCATTAACCTAAGAACATAAGAACGGCCACACTGGGTCAGACCAAAGATCCATCCAGCCCAGTATCCTGTCTGCCAACAGTGACCAATACCAGATGCCCCAGAAGGAGGGAACACACAGGTAATCCTCACATGATCTCTTCCCTGTCATCCACTTCCAGAGAAACAGAGGCTAGGAACACCATTCCTGCCCATCCTGGCTATTAGCCATCAATGGACCTAACCCCCATGAATCTATCTAGCTCTTTTTTGAACCCTGTTAAAGTCCTAGCCTTCACCACATCCTCTGGCAAGGAGTTCCACAGGTTGACTGTGCACTGAGTGAAGAAAAACTTCCTTTTGTTTGTTTTAAACCTGCTGCTTATTTATTTCATTTGGTGACCCCTAGTTCTTATATTGTGGGAATAAGTAAATAACTTTTCCTTATTCACTTTTTCCTCCCCAGTCATAATTTTATAGACCTCTCTCATATCCCCCCTTAGCCTCCTCTTTTCTAAGCTGAAAAGTCCAAGTCTTTTTAATCTCTCTTCATATGGCACCCCTCATCATTTTTATTGCCCTTTTCTGAACCTTTTCCAATGACAATATCTCTCTTTTGAGAGGAGGTGACCACATCTGTACGCAGTATTCAAGAGGCTTTATCTACACTTGAAAGTTTAACACAGCAATGTGAACACCAAGAGGCTTTATCTACACTTGAAAGTTTAAAGCCTCAGCAGGGCTTTAACACAGCAATGTGAACATGGCAGGAGCGCAGTGAGAGAGCTCTCCTGGTGCAGTACGGAAACCACTCCATATGGGGTCCTAAGTGTGCTGGGAGGAGTCTACTCGGCCACTTTATTGCGTGGCACTTTACAGGGCTGTAACTTGCTGCGATTCAGGTGGCATTCTTCCACACCCGAGCCAGAAAGCTGCTGCACAATAAAGCGTCCGAGTAGACTTAGCCTGAGCCAGGGACGACAAACGTGTTACTGCAGAAATAAGATTGCTTGGAGCAGCTTTGTGCCCTTCCGGCAACATGTCAAGGTCAGCTGCACTCAAACCTCGGAAACCAGGAAATAGAAAGTGAACTCGCTGAAAAGCTAAATCAACAGCGGCGTTCATACAACGCTGCTCCACACCACTAGAATTCAGGAAACAGAGAGCTGAGGTGAAGGTGTCCCCGCCTGACCTTGAATGTCCTTATGACTTATCACAAACAGAAGGATTCAGTCCACTCACGCCACAGGAGTTACTCTTTGCCCAGAAACAAAAAACAGGACTATGTAGCACTTTAAAGACTTCTGAGGAAGTGGGTCTGGCCCACGAAAGCTCATCACCTATTAAACCATCTTGTTAGTCTTTAAAGTGCTACATAGTCCTGTTTTTTGTTTCAGCTACACCAGACTAACACGGCTACATTTCTATCACTCTTTGCCCAGAGTGCTTCAGAGTCTTTAATTCAATCCTGTGTGATTTGCCTCCTCATCCTTACTCCCTGCCCCCCCACCCCCATGAGGCCAGCTGTCTCACCAGTATCTTACCTCCCCATGGGACATCCTTTAGCTAATGATCCTCCCGCATCTCCTGTCCCAGAGCACTGCCCACACGGCTCCCCTGTCCTGCTTCCCGCGACCTGCTTCTCCTCATCCACACTGGCGCTACCACTCTCAGAGAGGTCGGACAAGGCCCAGTCACCGGAGCCTCCCATCTCCATGCCCCTGGGGTCTGACATAGAAGGGGACCTCCTGCCATGGCTGGAAGGGGTGCCCCCGAGACTGAGGTCCGTCAGTTCTCCGAGGAGCTCCAGGTGGTCGTGTCCAGGAGATGGCTCCCCAGCTCTGTGCCAGCTGGCTGGCTGCATTCAGCATCGGCCACAGCAGGCACCAGGGAGCTGTTTTCTTCTAGATCCCAAGCATCCCCTTGCTCCTGCCCGCTCTGCCTCAGCCCAAAGAGATTCCTGAAGAACCGGAGCACCAAGGACCTGCTGGAAACACGGGGAACAGTCAGGGGATCCATTTCTTCCGGCCCCGGGGGGAAGGGCTGTGCACCAGGCAGCTGGGACGAGGTATCTCAACCGTTTAGAACCAACGATTCAAATTGAAACCCCCCCTCCCCCAACAACCATTCAGAAACTGCCAGGAGTTCTAGAGGTCCCTGGGGGAAGGGAGGGGTGCAGATATCCTAGCATTAAGGGCACTTAGATTGCAAGCACTTAAGGGCCGGGACCATCTCTTAGCCCTGTGTCTGTGCAGCATCTTGCACAATGGGGTTCTGGCCCATGGGCGAGGTTCCCAGGGGCGACTTTAATAAATAATAATCATCATTTTTGTCACATTTGTCCGGCTTGTCCTTGTCCGTCCTCCAGGAAGGCAAGTCACTGCCACGCCACTCCCTTTTGCTCTGAGCACATCCCTTCCACTTTGCGCCCAAAGAGTTTGGTCGTGGGATTGGCCTAGCACGTTTTCAGTCTGCCCAGCAGACTCTGGGGAAGCCAGCCGCTAATGCAGGTTGTCCGTCTGCAGACCACATGACCCCGTTCATCTCCGCTCTGTGTCGTAAGTCACCCACGCTACTTTGGTCACTTTCACATGCCTTCTGGGCTCTCCATGCGCTCTGTGATCGTGGAGCGATATCTTACCTGTTTGTCTTCCCATGGCTCTGTGGGTGACAGCAACATTTTCATCTTTGTCGTTGGTGAGCTTTCCGCTCCATTCACACCGCTGGCCAAACTGTGGAGTTAAACAGTTCTTTCCTTTTCTTCATGGGCAGTTCATCCACTGCTAGGGACGGCTTTATTTTGTTGAAACCTGCCCATTTCTCCTCTTACTGCAGTCCCCTTCAAATGAGTTGTCTCTGTTCGGCTGCTGACCCATGTAAATATATGTGTGGAGTTCCTCAATTACTTTCCCATTTCCAGGGATGATTCCTGAGGCGCAATGCTCATTCTGCATCCACTTCGTCTTCAACATGTTCACCTCCAATCCAATACCCTGTGAAAGTGTTCACAGTTGCTGCAATTTGTTCTGCAGCTCCACTGTGTCCTTTGCCAGTAGTAAACAAGTGGTCAGCAAAGTGAAGATGTGTTAATTGTTCTCTGTCAATTCCAATTCCTTCTTCCCAGTTCAATTTCTCAAACAGCAAGGACTGCAAACGGCTTCCGTTAAATTGCATTGCCTTTATAAAAATAATATAATCATTTATTACTATTTATAACCATTTATACTGCTGCTCAGCCACATCGTATCTGAGCATTGTCCAGGTAAAATCAATAACCAAAATTCCATGGACCTTCTTCAGTTTTTCTCTTTTGGGGTAAAATTACTGCGTGGGGTAGGGTTCATGTTTTTGGTTTTTTTGGCTAGATTTTAATAATTTATCCCCCTCCCCACACACAGCCCTTATGACTAGAATTTTCAAAAGAGCTCATTTCTCATTCAGGAACCAAAATGTCTAGCAATATAGTGTAACAATGGGCGAGTATGGGTAAAAATCTAGCCCTTGGACAGGATCCGGCCCATCAACCATGCCGTGGCTCAGTGGAAGCCTTGGGCAGGATCCCTGCCTTCTGTGCCCCAGCATGTCACTCAAAGCAGACAGCTGCAGGGGCCATGTGCTTCTCTGAGAACGCCCCCCCCCTCGGTATAGCTCCCCAGGTCATAACCCAAACCTTTTGCACCCCCACTCCTGCACCCATACCTTCTCCCAGACCTGTACCCCAATCCCCAGCCCCAGGTCAGTCACAATCCCCTCCCAGACCTGCACCCCCTCCTGCACCCCTCCTCCAGGCCAGAAATCCTCACTTGCACCCATACCTCCTCCCAGACCCTGCACCCCAATCTCCTGCCCCACATCACAACCCCCTCCTTCGCCCAAACTGCCTCCCAGACCCCGGATCCCCTCCTCCACCCCAGTCCCCTTCCCTGAGCTTCCTTCTGCACCCAACCTCCATCCCAGACTCCACACCTCCTTCATTAATACTTATCAATTCTTGGAGAGGCTCCCCATCACAAATTATTGCCCAGCCCTGATCTAGCTCCACTGCAGGTGGAAACCTGAACCTGAGCTCCCCCAAAGTGACTTACTGCTCTAGGTTTGCCCCCATTAATTTATTTGCTTATTTTCCTTTATCTGTGTAAGATTCTAGGAGTGTCCATCTGAAGCCTCAAATGTCCATTGGGTCAGCGAGAAGCAGTTTTTGCTTACAATACCAGCGTGTTCAATCGTCACTGGTTTCCACGGTCCATTACCACCCAGTTTTTAAGGTCACAGCCATTTTGACGTTATGACTTAACACCCGAGCAGCATGTAGTGACAGCTGTGCATGTATCTAGGACATGCCAAGAGGGCTAGACGCCATTGTAATACAAAGGTAAGAACCAGTCACCCTTCCTCTACAGCTAATTTGCTTGTAACAGTTTAATTGGCTGTTTGAGGAAGGCTGCACAGATGGTGGATTAGTTGGCCCTACCTCCACACCCATCTGCCTAGCTGCCACCTGCACAGATCTGCACAAATCTTCCAGCAGAACACCTCCTGAGGCAAGTCACCACAACCACCCCCACAATACCACCACAAGTACAAATACTCATAGCGCTTGCCTGCAGCAGACACTGCTCATTTGCCACCTACACAAATCTACCACAACACAACCCAGCAACAGGTCAACACACCCAGAGAGGCAGCACACCCAATAAGCCTAATCATCACCCTGCTAGAATGTGTGAGTCAGTGTGCAGCAATGATAGCTCGCGGAGAGCTGTTTTTCTATAGAACACCACCAAGTCCTATCATCGCTGGCATTTGCAGTCTGTTGCCATCCAATCTTTACGTTTTCAGCCATTTTCAGCTTTTCTCCCCCCCTCAAATACACACGTGACTTAATGAGCCTCTACACCAGCGATGGGCAACGGATGCTCATGAAGGGGCCACAAGATTGTCCTTACTAAGACAGTGTCCCGGGATAGGGTAGCTTTGCTCACTGCACTGATGTAGATAAAATTTGCAGAGTGTGCCAATTGAAAAGTAGCAGCACTGTGATTGGATACAGAGGCGGTGTTGCATGATGTATATCGATCAGGAGTGTGAATAACCTCTCCCCCGAGTGACATAATTTGCAGGGACATAAGTGTTCATGCACAGTGCTATTTGGATCTTCCCTCTGCAGACAGAGCTTCTGCTGTTCATGGAGATTGTTTCTTTATGCTGACGGGAGAGCTCTCCTGTCAGAGTTGCCAACTGTCAGTAAATTTACAGACAGTCTGTAAAAAATTGGACATGTCCGTAAAGTCCGTACAAAAAAATTTGGTGTCCGTAAATTTCATAAAAGTGCAATAAAATTTCAAAAAACAGCAATTATGCTATAGCCATTACATTTATTCTGTGCTGCTTCAGCCAATTTACTGCAGAGCAGCAGAAATTGGACGTTTTAGTTGTTTAATTAGCTCAAGGGTCGAGGTGACGTAACGTGAATCATGTGATCCATGTGATGTTATCATCTACATTATCATCTTAATATAGTATAAAAATTATGTCCGTAAAAAAATGTGTCTGTCTGTCAATGACATTTCTGTGGGTTGGCAACCCTGTCTCCTGTGCCCATCCAGTGTCTTCATCACATGCACTGCAGCGCTGTATGTCTACACATGGCCTAAGTAATAACTAGCCCCTTCCTGACAGGTGTTTGTCTAACCTGCTTTTAAAGATCGTCAATGACAGAGAATCCGCAACCTCCCTAGGCAATTTGTTCCAACCCTTAACTATTCTGCCAGGAGGTTTTTCCTAATGTCCCACCTAAACCTCCCTTCCTGCAATTTAAGCCCATTGCTTCTTGTCCTATCCTCACAGGTTAACTAGAGCAAAGTACAGGACTATGTAGCACTTTAAAGACTAACAAGATGGTTTATTAGATGATGAGCTTTCGTGGGCCAGACCCACTTCCTCAGATCAAATAGTGATGGCCCACGAAAGCTCATCATCTAATAAACCATCTTGTTAGTCTTTAAAGTGCTACAAAGTCCTGTACTTTGCTTCAGTTACACCAGACTAACAGGGCTACATTTCTATCACTAGGTTAACTAGAATAATTTTTCCTCTCTGGAAAACCCTTTACTTGAAAACTTATATTCCCCCACCGCCCTGCTCCAAACCCCATCGTTTCCACTTTTCCTGGTAGGTCATGTTTTCTAGATCTTTGTTTTTGTCACTCTCCTCTGGATTTTCTCCAGTGTGTCCGCACCTTGCCAAACATGTGGCGCCCAGCCCTGGATGCAATGCTCCCTTCCCTCTTGATGCCTTAGCAGCAAGGGGGGGGGGGGGGGGGGGGGGGCAGC